AAAAAAATAAAGAAAAAAATAGCTGTTCTTAACAGAGGCGGGAGTTGTTTATCGTCTGTCTTTCAAACCATTAATACCCATTCGCTCCAAAAAGAAAACCTTAGATGCAATACAATTTTAGATAATACATTCGATAGGTTGAAATCTTACGGTATTAGCTTAGCGTAGTGAGTCGGTGATATCATACGCCAGAACCGTAAGGGTTTGTTTAATTTTATATTTCCTCTTGATGTCACCAGGTATGCCTGCAGCTCCTCCAATTTTTCTCTAACGTGTCAACCTCCTCTGGTAAGCGTAGAAATTAAAAAGAAAGTCACTTTTAACATGACGTTAAACCTGTTATATTTTAACTTTCGACTATTCGCGTTTCGGGATCGATACACTGCGTCTTTCTTAGATTTTTCTGTTATTTAAGTTTAGTAACCTCTGCTATAACCACATACAATGTAAGTGTCTTTAAACTAAACTAACAATCCATGCTCTTGGAAACTTTAGCTACTGAAATACGAAATTTGTCTAGAATGTTTCTTTCGCTGGGAAAGTTTGATTTAAACGCGTGCGCAGACTAGCTAGAACAATAGTATATTTCAAACTTGACACTGAATAAAGAAAGATCAGACTTAGGATTTGACAAGGAAGATATTTGCAACAACCTATAAAAATAGCTGGATTTCATTTGTACATGTAAATTACAGAAATCAATTCCAAACATCGATCAAGTTTTCTTTTTAGTTTTAATGTTGAGTTGGTGTTGTTATCGGCCTTAAAGAGGTTGAAGAGTTTTAAATAGTATCTAACTCACCCTATAAATGAATTTCCTGGGAGGTGGAATTGTAGCAACATTTCGACATAAAACACAATAATAAACTTAGTTGATCTGAAAAAAGTATTTATTTCACCATCTACTAACACTTTCACTGGTTCTTTATGACAAAATTTTAACTTGAAAGTCTTTTGAAAAGGCTTGGGCATATGTTGAAATTGGTTGCCTGTTGGGTAGAAAATTGTTTTCAAGGTCCTTCTCTTGACCAATAAATCGCCACGTATGATCTGGTTCCTGGATACCTGAGTCACGACATCTGGAAAGCAATCTTCAGAGGAGAAGTCAATGGGCAGAGTCAGCAAACAAGCTCTGCGTCCCCATGAGCAAGCTGAAGAACTATGGTGATCAGGTGTTTCCAATTGCAGCTCCTATCCTATGAAACCATCTCCCTCCACAAATAAGATTAGAAACCCTATCCAAATTTAAATCTAAACCTAAAACATACCCATTTAATGCTACATATTAGTTCTATTTTATTTATTTATTTGTTTAACAATTTACCAATGGCAGGTGAATTTACAATAGGACAAGGTTGTCCCCTACTAGGTAAATTATTTTACCCTATCCCCTAAAAGCAGACAAAATTGAAACCCAACCACTTACAAGCCTCCATGCTAAAAACAAAACAAAACAAAAAAAAAGTTGTTTAACATGTACAAGAATCAAGAGCATTGGAACGACGACATTTTACACAAACTAATTTAAAGGGAAGGACGTCGTCTTGATTTAAGACTTTGCTGAGTCTTAGATAAAAGAAGGACTTTAGTTTTTGACGAAAGACGGTAGTTTTTTCTGCTCTTATGTTATCTGGTAAGGCGTTCCATATGTTACAGATTCTTACAAAAAAGGAATCGCTATAGAGTGAGGTTTTAGCTTCTCATTTTTGAGAAAATGACCAGAGGCGCCATGGCGCGAGCGCCCACTACAAAACTCAAAGAGGTAGTTTCTTTTCAGATCAATTAAACCTAATTTTCACTTAAATGTAAACCGATAGAAAGTGTACTCTATTGCTTAATTATCTAACAGGTCATTTTCCTGTCCATGTTGCTCTCTCCGGAGAGAAAATGCATTAACTCCAAACCAAAGTAGTCACGGTATTGACATAATGATCAATGCTACAGTGAATACATACATACATACATACTTTATTGCATAGCTCCCCCCTGGGGGCTCTTCCGCCATACATGAATATAAGATATTAAGTCGTAAAAACGTCATAATAAGATAACATGATATTAAAAAAAATAAAAAAAT